TTTATTGTTTTATTCATATTTTTCACTGTTTATAATCTGCATTATACCAATGAATAATTTAATCATTCGTCAGAGTTTCTTTTATGCACTTGCTAGTTGTTATGCTAGTTGAGTCCGTTTATGGAGACTGCACAGAACCATTTGCACAGATACCTTGTCACTTTCTGAATACTCACATACATGCACACAAAAAGAAAGATATGAAAGATTTACAGAAAAAAAGAATAACAGAGTGGAAAAGACAACAACAATAAAAAAAAAAAAAATAGAGCTCAGAGGAAATGCATACATTAAGAATATTAATTGCTAACACTGTAGGAGGTTTGAGCAGACAGACAGACAAACCTAAACATTGTTGTAGTAATTGGTATTGCAGGTCGCAACAACAACAATGTCTTAAATAATGATGATCATGTCATTCTTGTTGCTACTGATGACCAAAACAAGACCAGTCATCATAAGAGTAATAATAACTATATGGCGATAATGATGACAAATAGAGACGACCTTCACCTGGGCCTCGCTTTATGTAGCTCAATTGTTTTAGTAATATTTAGCTGCTTCGTGTGATCGACATAATGAAATGTTTGTCGTGGTGGACACAATTGCCTCTGGGCGCTCTAGCCCAGCATAATTTCCTCCCCAACCTGGTTACATTATCCGGTTGTCCCTGTGTTTTAGTAGTATACGTATGGCCATATGGGGAAATAAACATGGCATTCCTGGAGCTACTAAATCGTAGTTCAGCCTCAATGAAACAGATGTAAAGTCTATGTAATGTTCCTGTCTTTAGATGCATGACAGCGAGAATCGTCAGTTTCGTAAAATTAGGCAAAATTTTTAAGGTATATCCCCTGGATTTAAAACCAGGTGAAAATTACTTTTTTCCATTTTGATCATTTTGGTGGCGTTAATTGCGAGTTGGGTTGAAAAATGAAATACACCTACAGAGTCTGAGCGGACAAACACATAGGCCTACACTAAAAATGATGAGCAGTCCCTGTAAGTACTTCCGAACGTTACTATGAACACGTTACACGGTAAGTCGACAGTAACTTTATCTTTTCCACTTCCCTCAACCACCGACTTGAAGTAGAAGCCTACGATATTACCGTTCGGAAATCGGAAAAAGCGGGCATGGCATGAGAGTTTATAGTCCAAGAAAGAAATATTCAAATGGGCAAATAGTAATACTCATATGTATTCGAAATAAAATGATGGGATATACAATAGATACTATGCATTATATTCTTATATTTTTCAAGTGTGCTTATTAATGTCATGCGGAAAATCATTTGAGAGCATCCTTGAGGTCATCATCGTTTACATGCGTGGGTCTTCCAAGTTCCTCAAAGGAGCTTGCCCAATATTCATCCTCCAAACGAAGTTCTTGCAGCAAATTATTATAAACAATTCTACTGTTTCTGATCAGCAACACGAACGAACCCACACACATCATCCATTAATGACAAATAACCTCCAAGGAAGGCGCCGCGCGGATAATTGTAGACGCCATGTTTGTCGCTGAAATCGAGCGCTTAGGCGATGGTTCTGTTCGCCTCGTGTGGCCAGCGAGTTGAGAAATCGGCCCTCAGGGTAACTTCGAATAGTGGGTTATATCACAAATTGGTTCCTGAAAAGAAAGAAAGAAGAAAAAAAAAAGAGAAAAAAGAAGCGCTCGTGTGACCGTGCGCGCATGTTATCAGAGATTTATTGATAAGAACGCGGGTCACACGGGGAAAATTCCATGCATGTCACAGTTTGCAACGCAAGCACAGCGCCCCCATTTCCGTGCTCAGGATATCGCATGTGCTGATGAAAAAAGATAATGTCACAACCCCAATGTACAACTTCCACGATTCCGTCTGCCTTAGGGGATGGCTCAAAATCCTTACACTCTCATTCTTCATGCAAGTGAGGTGACAGAAGTTCAAATTCTGATGAGAGGAATCTTGATTTAGATTTTAGTTGGGAAGACTTTCTTCTGAGGAGGAAAATATCACACAATTATTGTCTTCATTCCTCGTTATTACCTTCAATCAACTTGTTTGTGGCATCCAATCAACAACCCACCTACTGCATGTATTATAATGCATGCAGTAGGATAATTATGAAGCTAATATATAATTGTACAAAAAAAACAAAAAAACTGCAATTTCAGTAAAGTGAAGATTAAAATACTGTTAAACGAATCATATAAATATGGTTTTAAGTATATATATATATATATATATATATTATATATATATATATATATATATATATATATATATATATATATATATATATATATATGTTTATATATATTTTGATCTGTGGAACACCAGCCGTAGAAAAAGTGAAGAGGTGAATCATAAAACGTAGTCCCGCTTATCCATATTCTGTAATCTAATCCAATGAAACCCGGATGCATTCAAAACAATAACAAATGAAAATCACGACTTCAAGGGAAAAAAATGGAAAAATTGATAAATGCACAAACAAGTAGGAAGTGGAGAGCGGAATTTGATAACAGGACATTTTCTCAAAGGGATTTTTGTGAATTTCAAAGAGAAATTATCCTCTTATTTCTTCGACAGTGTTAATCGCATATATTAACTTCTTGAAGAGACTGAAACGCTTAGAGCAGTGGCCATTAACTGTTTTAAGACTATAACTCCTCCTCTCCTAATACTACTACTACTACTATTACTCCTACTGCTGCTGCTACTCCTCCTCCTCCTCCTCTCCTACTACTACTATTACTCCTACTGCGCTGCTGCTCCTCCTCCTCCTCTACTACTACTACTATTACTCCTACTGCTGCTGCTACTCCTCCTCCTCCTACTACTACTCCTACTATTACTGCTACTTCTACTACTACCACTCCTCCTCCTCCTACTACTACTACAACTGCTACTACTACTGCTTGTATTTGCGAACTCTTGTGGCCCGCCGACCCTCAATTTTAGAATCGGATCTCTCTGTTTCTATACACCTTTCGGGTAGTTAAATCCAGTCAATTAAAAAGGTTAATGACGGAGCCGTTGTTTCATCACACGCAGGAAGCGCCTTCGATTTTCTTGTTATTTTACTGTTATTAATATTATCATTATCATTTTTATAATTATTATTATTATTATCATCACCATTACCATCATGACCACCATCACCATCTTCACCATCAACATACAACATAATCATCATCATGATCAACATCAATATGATCATCATTACCATCATCATAATCACCATAACCTTTCGCTATCATCATTATCATCAGTATGATCATCATCATCATAATCACACTATCATCATGATCAATCATCATCTCATCATCATGATTACTATCTTCCTCATACTGATCATCATCACCATGATCACGATCACCATTATCAACATGGTTCACCAGTGGTCCAAGGCCACCGCTGGGAAGCCAGTGGCCTCGAGGCATTCCCGCTCCTGCAATGAACAGTCACCTTGGCTGATCCCTCCGCACTGCCGAGGCCAGCTGGGCCCAGGAGCAGGTCCAAGCGAAGACAGTAACAGACAACTCTTTGGACAGAAGTGAATGTCTGCGGGACGGACGAGAGGTCAAGCCGTTGTCTTCATCAACTTACTACCACCACTACTACTACATGCTGCTGCTGCTGCTGTTACTACTTTTACTACTACTACTGCTACTGTTGATACTACAGCTATCACTACTATTATTACTCTACCACTGCTGCTACTACTGCTACCACTGCTATTACTACTATCTGTGCTACTACTATTACATTTTCATATCACTATTATTATTATTATTATCATCATCATCATTATTAGCCTCATCATCACCATTATTACTACTAGCAGTAGAATTTATGAAATCATTACTAAAGTCTTTATTATTATTATTATTATTGTCATTATCATTATTATCAGAAACTTTTGTCATCATCTTCAGCATCATCATTATTCTAATATTGTTATTATCATAATCAAAATAAACACCACCAACTGCGTTTTCCTTCGTCAGTTATTTTCCTCCGACTTACTTTCTTACCCTCTCTGCTTACTGTTATTATCGGTTCCCCTCTATTTGTCTTTTTCTGTATGCATGTCTGAATTTTGGGAAGCCTTTGATGTATACTTATTTGTGCATCAGGGTTATTACAACCCTTTGTATAGTTTATTCCTATTGATTTGGAACATTTTGTTAGTTTAATGTATATTATTTCGAGGTCGAGAAGGAATGCCTTTCCCTTCACAAATGCATTTATCGAGAGTTGATTAAAAGACGGCTGATTAATCTCTTATATCAATCTGTTAGATGTACAGAAAAACATATTAAGAGTAATATAGTAGTATAAAGTAGTATAGATATATAAAGAAAATGTTCGTTTGTGGATGAATTAACTGTTTTCGACATTCTGTGAATGGATTTTGCCAAATGATAATTTCACAAAGATTTCACTTATATTATTATATGTTTTATACAAACTAGGGAGACAATCATACATGCAGTAACCTTTAAAATACATAATCCATTAGTATAATCTTTCAATCACACATACAACAGAGAGAAATACAATATTAGATTCTCGTTCTAAAGTTCGACTAGATTGTTGGAGAACGGAGATGTTGCCAGAGGCTGCGTTTCTTTTTGTTCTTCTTTGTCTCGCTTTCTGCGTCGCGAATGCCCTCGGCTGAGGCGTCGCTGCCGTGGCTCGTCGTTCTGGCTCGGCTGTCGCTGCTGCAGGAGCTGAGGTGGCTGTTGTTGCTCGACGTCCTGGTCCTTTCGCCCGCTGTGCCTACGGGGGGGGGGGGAGCGCTTTATTTGGATTCCAGACATGTTGGATGTTATGGAGCCAGACTTCTATAAGATTTACAAAACTGAAGATTGAATTATTTAGGGAAGTAGAGATATATACATGAAGGTGTTTTGGCATGTTCTTGCATAGAGTTTCCTGGAACGGATAGATTACCCATTTCGAGGAAATATTCGTAGTCGTGGTACACGGACATTTTCTTCTTCA